AATTATTAATGGATGAATCAGTCCTAATCCATCAGGCAAATAGCACTCCTCAATTCGCAGAAAAAACGACTATCCGATAAGTTGCGTGGCGCCATTGAATTTAGACGTTTCCATTCGTTTCAATGTTAACGACGATCAAGAGACAATTGATTTGATACTCCAATTGACCATTAGACTTTGGGTGATTTTATTAGAAATGATTGCCAGTTTATACCGGCTGGACGTTCCATTTTTGTCGATATGTTATTAGTATACATTATTAGGGATCGAGGCAATTGACGCGAGTTGGAACTTTATAATTTATATAGTGTGGATTGGGAATGATTCTACGTTCATTTATTGACGGGATGGCCGAAGGCTATGGTTTCATCATATGATGATCAGCTTGTGAACGCCCGAAAATTATCTCGAGATGGCCGAAATAATCGTCCAAACTTGATGGAAAACGTCAATGAAAACAATGACATGTAGCTTTATCGTTGGTCATTATCAGGTGACAATGCCAATGGAATTGTGCTTAAATACTCATCATTGCCCATTAATGTAACCCAGAACAATGTTCGAAAATGATAAGAAAAATGACAAAGTAATATAAGGAAACGATAAAATACTCTATTGAATTGAAACGTAGGGCCAGTTGTTGGTCAAGTTAACTAAAGTCAACGAAAATTAACTTTTAGTTCTTTCAAGTCACTGTTTCATCAGGATTTAGTGTAATTTAGCTTATTTTCCTTATTGCAAAAAGCAACCAATGAATTTTGAAATAAATGTTCATAATTTCTCATTAGTTCATTCATCCAAAAATAATGGCAATGTGATAGTGGATGTCCCAACGAACAAATTAGGAAAAGTATAACTTGAAAAAAAAATTCCCAATTGACTAGTTGACCGGTGGTCATTCATCAAGGACTAATAGATTGTTGATCAACCAAATGCACAAGTTGGCTACTCAAAAAAACTGATTTGTTGGTTCAACTCTCAATTACATAATAATAATCCGATAAAATTTTTCATCGCCGATTTGAATTCCTTCCTATTTTTTTATATATTCTATGAAAATGTGAGGATAGGAATTGAATTTGTGGGTATTGGTTCATTATTGAAATATAATGAAAATACATTGGTTTTTCTTCATTATTAAAAAAAACGTTTTGAAATTTTCAAGATTAAAAAATCGATTTTTAAAATTTATTCCTGATTTTCCTTTTCTATATTTTCCGTATTTCCTGTGTCTGTGAACGGTTCCATTGAAATGAGATCAAAGGAATGTAAAATGTTCATATTCGTTCACATTTTCAGATCATTGGTACTAATTAATTTGAAGAAAAAGAAGGAAACGAAAAATTTGAAGTATGATTATCGAAAATTGTTTGTCGATCTGTATTCTCACGTGATTTATGAGGAATTCCTTTTCATTCAATGTTGTAACTTGTGAATTAAGGAACAAAAATATGTAATAACAATAAGAATGAATAAAATTAAATTAATTTAATTGTGAAGACGGAAATGGAAAGAAAATAAAATAACATAATATAAATTAATTTAGGAACGGGCGCGAATCGCCCGTTCGCTAGTTAAATAATGATCAATTCAGTCATCAAGGGAATTTCGACATTCGTTGTATTAGATATCCTCTAATCAATGCACACTTTCATATTTTCACGGCTACATTTTTCTTTCTTATCCTTATCGTTATGCCTATTTGAATCCAACCTCATATCATCTCCGCAAATTTATTCACACAACATTTCATTAAGTTATTAATCGCCGCCCGACCCGTACGATCATAAACAGAAAGAAGCAGTTGTAAATGATAGTATATGTACAGAAATAAAAGGATTTAAATACAAAAAGAATAGATTATAGTCGAAATTGAAGATGGTTAGAATTAGTGACAGTTTACGCTCGGATTGAGGGCCTGACTGATGAGATTGTAATAAGACTTCATACGCACCAAAGAAATAATGAGCCATGCTTACCGAAGGCCAAGCATAAACGCCGGCCACGTGGATGAAACAGCCGCATTGGTTTTGTTTTTACGACGTCGGGCTAGAATCCACTCATCAACCAAGGTTACCACACATGCACGACATCCATTGGTTGTGGTAGTGACCCAGTAAGTCAACTGGATATTCGGTAGGTTCAAGCAAAATCATTTGACGCTCGATTAACCATGCAGCGTTCAAATGTCTTAAAAATAGTCGCCAAAGTCGGTGACACTTTTTATTAGGAATGAGCGATCGCGATATTGAGAATTAAATTTGTTTCCTTGACACCCATTAAAATGAAAGAAATAAAAATTACATCGGTTATTTCAGAAAAGAAAACAATCGGAACATGAAACTCATTTAAAAACGAGTTCAAACGATTCACAACTAGCTCTATCGAATGTTAGCACACGAGTAGAGGCTACAATAAGATGTTAGAGTGACTGAGCTTCTACATTTCAATAGAATTATCATATTTTTACATGAGAATAAATTTCATAAAATTCCTTAAGGGGAAACGGAACTCCTGTGTCTATATGAACTTTTAGAATTGTGTTTTCTCCTGCAATTATTATTATTTATTTATAAAACTACTTCGTTGACGCAACAATGCAGTGATCGAGTCAATAAAGTAATGTCGCAGATAAAAATTAATCATTGTAAGAGAAAACACAATTCTAAAAGTTCATACAGACACAGGGGTTCCGTTTCCCCTTGATAAACAATAGAGATCAAACCATCCAATTATTTATAACAGAAATTATAAAATTCTGACGTCAAGCGAGTATAATTCCTAGTATAATTCAATTTTTCTAGAAAAACATTGAACATCAATGTATCGACTAGAAAAAAAAATCCACGATTAATAGCCCATTTAATCCGTGCAAAACCGAGGGAGTCGACTGATCAGCGAAAATCACCCATTCAACTCGGTACATGATTTAACTGAATATTATTGAACTATTTTGACCTCAACTTCTTCCTTCGAAGTCGCAACTCCCTGGGTAATCATCAATTTTGACCATCTGGAGAGATTAATTTGTGCATAGATGAGAGTTTATTAAGTTACGAGAGAATTGAAAGGTCAACAGGGTTGGACGATCTCGGCCCCATTCGACAAATTACGATTAGGCACTTCAGGGACGATTGTCATTATGCACTGATTCCTGACTATATCATGAGGATATGACGTACTACCGGGTGAAAATTTGTTAGGGTGTTATTGCTGACCCTCTTCAAATGGCATCAATTGCCAGTACCCTTCTGTACTTTGTTCATCATAATCATTTTTAGATTTGTTTTTTTTACAAAACGGCTGTTTACCGGCTGTTATTCTTGTCTATTTGCAAGTGGATTTTTTTGTCGTTTTTATTTCCGCAAGTGCAGACAGTTTGAAATTCAGATTGATTTCTTTGTTTATGATCGATGATGTTTTCGATTCTCTGATTAAGCAATTGCACGTGTTTCTGATTATTTGAGTCTGGAATTCTTGTTGAGAAAATTTGAAATTGTTCCTCTTGGAATGCTAGCCAAATTCGACACTTGAGAGTCGGCTGCAGCAATTGTGACAATTGTTATCTGGTGAAATCAAGTCAATCACTAAAACTAGTCATCACATTGCACGTGCCTCACGATTTTTGATACGAGGGACTCGTTATGCAGGACGAAGCAGTTAGAGCTGGTAATAACATCATTGCTAATGTGTGAATTTCCATGCACTTCAGTAAATGATCTGGGCGGTATTGCTTGTAGTCGTAAAAGTCATACGTATGTTAAATGTTCTGGTTATAAATAATAACGCTCCGTTGTCTCGTGATATTGATATTGATTAGCCATTTATTCTCGGCAACGGAAAATTTTCATCGACAGTTGGAAACAGTTGGATTATAATTCCCGGAGTAAATCATTACGGAGGAAATTTAAGAAGATTGACTTCAACATCTATTATCGATGGCAATTGCTACAGCATTCTGCTGTTAGTCATATCCAATGAAACTCGACGCGTTACTAATTGAATTCTTGCCAATAATACCGTGTAATCGTTGTGACCTCACTTAATACACAAACAAAATAACGAGTTTACTTTTAACTTGAACATACCTACATTTTTAAAGGAACCAATGCGTGGCATATTTGACAATTTCTAGACGAAAGTTTAATTTATGGTTGCTGAATGATCCGATTTGAATAGCTATTGCTGCGAAACAGTTGCCAAACAGACGAAGAAATAAAGTTACGAAAATCAAAAATAATAGAATAAACATGAAATCGACTGAACCCCATGATTTCACAATCCTTTTCCATTCTGGCATAACGACAAAATGTCTCTTGACACTCGAAAATAGTCACCCGGATGTGAAAATTCGTGCATCATAAAATTGCACGTATGATCCAAAAATATTGTTGATTGATGATAATCTGAACAGTCAAGATTAGTTCGGTTTTAGGTAAACATAAATATCCTTGCATCATACTTGTGCTAATGAATCAGTCTACCGCGAAAAACTAAAAATACTTGTGAAAAATAATTTGTACAGCATTAACGGCACAAATATGACGTGTATTGGTAGGATTAACATGATTCTTTGTTGAGCTATACACATTTCTTTTGGCACATATAGGATTGAATTTTTGGCTGTCTTGTCTAGTGGCGCTTCGGGCGTAAACAAAAATAGAGAATCATTCAGGAGAGTGGAAGCTGAAGATGTAGAAGATGAGCATTCTGCGTAGAATTTTTCTCAAACTCGCTAAGTGTTTGAATACAATACGAAGAGCTCCGACAATAATACAATGCAAGACTCATTGATAAAAGATGGTGGACAATCATTGACGATCCCTCCACAAGAAACAATCGATCATAAATCATCTCCATATTCACGTGATATCGGTAGTTTGCTCTTCCTATTTTCGCTGCGCGATAGCTCTTGTTCGGGCTTGTGTCTGAGTTAGAATAGTATATATTAAGAGCCCCACGTCCTCGGGACATTCTCAACCGTTTTGGCAAGCATTAACTAGCTTTATGCGTCTTGAAACACAAACTAGAGATAGTGGTCATAATACTGTTCAGTCTCATCGTGTTCAGTAGCCACTTGTACGCCCGCGTTGTCTCAGTGTAGACACGGTTACAATTTGACCTGAGGTATCATACCAGCCAGTTTTAACTAGTGTCTCACTTCGCTTCTTGTCCCAAGACATCAGCCAGCTTGTTTTGCATAATGAAACATTCGAAGACATTGTTGAGTTTACAATTACCAGTGTCTCGTATTAAACGTAATAACATCGAAGTGGACTTACGCACAACCTGTCATTATCTCCAAATGGTGTTATCACATGTGTTACATTGAATTGTGTGTAGGAAGTCATTGAGATTCATCAAGCTATGCGTTCAATTAAATCTCATTGATCCGGGTTGGGATTGGCCTTAACGTTCCGCGTTGATTTTATCCGCGTGATAAAGACGTGATCAACGGCCGCTTCTGTGACAACTGTGACGTTTGTTGTACTGATGACGCTTAAAGGAAATGAAGAAAAATTCAACTTGCTGGATAAAACTTTCATAATGAGTTACGAGTGCTCAAGTTATTCCTGAAAAACGACAATTTGTTCTTCACAAAGTTTCCTTGTTTCGGTCATTAAAATGTACTCCTTCGATGAAATCGGTAATACGGACAGTGGCTTTGACGTGGAGATGAGCTCATTGTCTTCCAGCTGTCTGGACGACGCCGGTCGAGGACAGGTTGATAAGTTATTTGATATTACCATTAGTATCAGTTTGTGTAAGGCAAGAAGTGAACTGTCATGCTTTCAAATGAATCGACATGATAATAGTACGTCAGTATGAGCACTACGTGTTATCAATGTAGTTCACCGATAACCGCACACCTTGCAACTTGAAAAAATTAACGATGATGAAGGCATAGTAAGTTATATGCAAAACTCGATGCAACTACCATCACTGTGGGTCACCGTGGACGCTTTATTCAGCGCAAGTGGTTGCATAACTGTCCTTTGACGGTCCCCAAAGCAATTTTCGTCCCATTTGCCGATTAAACTATTGAATTCACCAGTCAAGTCTCACTTCCTGCATTTCACTTATTCATCTGAACACTTTTGCAGCGATTGAATTATTGTATTTGCGAAGTTTTATTAAAGATTTTTTTTTTAATGATTTCAGCGCACCCCCATGCGTCCAATGATCGCCGAATACGACCCTAAGAAGCACGGTGTCAAAACAGAACTCTCAGACATGGTTCTTGTCAAGTAAGTGTTAAATTACTAATTTAATTTTTTCATGCAGAAATGCTAGTAACATTCATAACGTAGAGAATTTGTTAATAACGAGACATGGTCAACGTCGGGCATCTGACGGAGGGATTTGCTACAATGACTTGCCACAATCGATCATCGCTTCATATTGATGTTTTTAATAAATGTACAAATTTTGTACTTGACCGAGTGGAAATTGCATAATGGATTGGATTCGCTGGAATTATGAATCAATATCAGATATTTCATTCATTATTATTTGCTATTTTTGCCATATCCATTGGTGTTGGTGTTCATTTTATATCTTTTTATTTGAATATGACGTGGTACTCTCCTAATGTAATATTACTTTGATCAGGCAAACTGACAGACATAAGGATTATAACTCTATGGGAGAAACCTCTTTCAGGACTGATACTGATACAAATAGAGGAAATTCGAATGCCAGTTCGGTTCCAATTCGCAATACAATTTCCCCTCGGAACATTACGCACGAAACGTGAGTTTAACCGAGGATCATATATGTGCATTTTGTTCGTTATCATATTTACTTTACCTCGTGTCGAATTTAATACCAATTTGATCTATCCATTAAATCGTTTTTGTGCAAGAGAAATAAACCATTTCGTTATTGAAAAAAACATTTTCTCATGAACGACATCTGCCTATGCATAAACATGATTTTTTATTATCATTTTGCCACGCATACCGCCTGATCGCCGCCATCTTATTGAAAATTCAAATCCGCCTGAATGTGCTATCTAGCGGAAGATTCAGTGAATCATCCGCTGTTTTACATTTAGTATAGTTTGAGTTTGAATTAATTAGTTTTTTTTCCTTTTTGGATTCTCACTGCGATATCCGATGCAATAGACTTCTCTGCATGTGTTCCATTAGCTCATCGTGGATTACGTATGCCGAGAGAATGATGCGCGTAGGCGGAAGACGTGATTGAACGCCCACAATACCGTTGACATTGAATCAGGCCAAATTTAGGTGCATGATAGTTTTACTATGCGCGCGCAGATATTTTGGAAAAAAAATAGATTTATGTTTGGAAGCAATAATAAATTCTTGCTGAATGCAAACATCAGCAATATCCTCTTTTTGTTCGGGCCACTCACGTTGATAGGTGTTGAAGCACTAGGTACTTGTAATAGGATTTACACTTATCGGAGCTTCTCACAATCAAAATGTGAATAAATTCTTGGTCAACATGATGTTAATAAACTCATAAATAATGAAAACATTTTCGTCTGTCTTCTATGCATTGGAATGTGATTTTCAACGATGCTGTAATCCGTGAATTCGAAAATTTTCAATTTTCAAATAATTATTTCAATAGTACTTAGGACATCTTTGGCTCTTCATTGTTATTGGAATAATTGATTTTCTTAGCATCAGTTGGCAATGTTAAATTATTTTTAGTAAATGTTTTAATAATTATGATTAACGGAAGGTAATGAACCTACGCAGTATCTGTCTTCGTTTAATTCAGTTGCAGCGTTTCCGTCATACATACGTCGTAGGCGTAGTTACCAGAAATTTTAAATTTCCCGCGAAAAGTTATCTTTTAGGTGCATTTTTATTTTACAAATGTCTGTCATAAAGATCTCTTTCACGCTGAACTGTCTTGAAGATATCCTTAAGACATCTCAGCATCGAAGATATCTTTACGACAGACATTTCTAAACCAAATGTATCTAAAATGTATCTATTTCGTAGAAGTTAAAAATTTTTTCCGCAGAAGTGAAGAATTCAAGAAAATTCATGATTTTCTGTATCATCTTTCAAACTGCCTTTTTTATAAAACCTTGAAAAATCGGGAAACTCATCTCTCATCCACTAGTTTTTATCATATTGTTGATTAGTTTTCTGGAAGATATGAGTATTTTACAGATTGACAGTGAGGTAACCTCCATCTTACAGATAGAGAGATTACAATCGCATCCAAAACTTTTTTTTTCTCGAGCACAAAATCGAGAAGAATTTCGTCCTGGTGGAACATAATGAGTCCGTCCATCTGCAAAATTTTCAATTTCATTTATTATTGATTCTTGTGAACTGTCAATAAATACGCCTCCTTGATTGTCTGAATATTCAGACTTATTAAAAGTCTCAAATGTACTAATATCTGTCATATGTCTTGTTTAGACGGTAACTCTTCAGCTGATCCAAACTTATCAATGAAACTCGATTCGAACGTATCATATTATGATAATAATAAACTCAGGAATACTAGAGAACAGATGAATGTCGCCAGTAATCATGTCTCGTATCTCCGATTTATGCGGTCTAGGTCGTGCAAGAGGTACCGATTGCGTAACGTGTTAATATTACACGTGATCAGGATTTGGTGTTTCATCTAATTATTGCAGCCTTCACGTTTCGAGATTTATCACCGTTGTGGGTAGATCAGATACCACTGATTTATTCATTCCGTCTTCCGGTGTTTGCATTATGGCATAATCGTTCAGTTTTGTTAGTGCATTTGGGGACGTCATATGCATTCTGAAAAATTAACTCGACAGATCCCAGAATAATCCCAGAATATTTACAATATATAACCATCAAACATTTCCTCGTATTTTTTTCAAAATGGCTCGAATATCGAAGATAATTGATACTTAACCCTTCAGAACTCGCGCTCAGCCACCGACCTTCGTTACTCGCGTGGTGAGCGCAGCGCCGCCCGTGCTTTCAGTAACGCAGCGTTGTCACGTTCATAGGTACGCGCCGAGCGTGCGGCGAGCGGGAAACAGCAACAGCGGAATTGAAAATTTTACATCCTTCGTTACTCGCGCTGGGCGGCACGGCGCCGCTTTTGCGTATGAGCCTCAACAATTTATTATTTTTCGTAGCCTTGATGGATTTTCAGCGGATAAGAACCTTGCTAATCCATTCTAAATGATTCAAGCTAGGCATTCTAATTTTTTCAATTTTTTGAAAGCTCAATTTTGCAAGAGGCAAGCGAAAATTTGAAAAAGGCGGTGCGGCGCTTATAGCGCGAGTTCTGAAGGGTTAATCATCTCAATTTTTCTGTTGTTTTTCATGATTAATTGGGTGCGCATGGCTTTGCTGAGAAGGCTTTTCATAACTTCGAGTATCAAAACAAATTGTAGAAATCCAACACACACGCAATGTCTATCAGTCGATCATTAAAGTCACTTGTATAAGGTATAAATGAGTGTTGATTGAAAAGCGAGATGATGCCCCGGCTATGTGGAAAAAAAGCAAAACTTGAGTCATGAATCCGAAAAAATTGCCTATCGTCGAGGTTTAAAAATAGAATCGGATCGGTAAACTTTTTTTTTCACCGTGAAGAAGGGACAATTCGTGACCCAAGTGGTATACATCCTACCGCAGCTCGAAGACCTTCAGGGCGATTTCCCATCAATAATTGAACTCTATCAATAAATCATGATGCAGTGGTGATCATGCGGTATACCGGTATTCTTTCAAAATTTTCGTCACATCCAAGAAAATCAAAGATTATGAATAGTGTTATTTAAATTAGATGGTAAAAAATGTGTTTTTACTGTATAATATGTCCATTTATATGATTCCAGACGTGCTAATAGTGCCCGGGCATTGATTCGGAGATCAATCAATAGAAAAAGAAATTCCAACACAAAAACTATAAGAAATTACGACAGAAACAGACTTTCACATGACGATCTTTCGATAATAAAGAATATCACTACACCTAATTTTTTTTTTAATAACAGAAAAAAACAAATACAATTTGTTATTTTAATGAATTATAATGGTTAACGTGTGTTACCCTTTTTTGTTGTTAAGTGGAAATATAAGTAAACACGGCTTGTTAGTCGTCGTACTGCGTCGGTGGCGCTGGCGGCGTCGGTTGATGCAGTGCGGTGGTTGGCCAGAGCTGAGAGACACCCGCAAAAACACAAATGCAGATAAAAAGACATGTGTGTGTTATAGAAAAAAGAAAAGAATAATAATATTAATAAACAAAAAAAGTATAGAAAAGTAAATAACACGCACACAAACGCATACGAGTGTTGCTGTGTTTGAGCAACTGATGTGTCACGTGACACGGGGCCGAGGCTTTTTGAGCTCTTTTGGGCAGCGAATAATCGATAAAATTAGAAAAAAAAAATATTATTGAGGCCACCCGGCACACATCTTTATGGAGAATTCAATGGGTACCTACACTACCTCTCTACCATTTACGTTTATATCATTAATATTTTATAAATAAATTATTTTTTTATTTTTGTGACTTTTTTATTTATAACTTATTCGAGGTAGAAATAAAAGATTATGAATTGTTACTTGGAACACGTTATAACAAGATATACATGAGTACACTATTGGCATGACAGGGTTGCAAATTAATCGGCCGGTATTTTTCAAAAGCGTAACAATTTCGGTTAGAGAGTGTTAAATGGTGATGGTTTTTTTTGTAACTTATTCACGATTTCTCTTGGCAGACGAAAGAAAGAGGGGGTAGTGTCAGAGAGAATGGAGAATTGGATGGAGTGAACGGACGATTTTGCGGTTAAAAATGATGAAAAACACATTAACCTTGGGAGAGGCATACGAAAAATTTGGGAACGGGCTTTTTCTTATTCGAGTGTAACAGTCACTCTAACTTTGCTAGAACCAGGAACATTAGTTCTTTCATGATACACAGAGTTTTCGACATTAGGCGATGATCATGGTCTTAGGCAAAACTAATGATAATACTACACATGTGAGATTGAATGCAATTATCCAACAAGTTGATCGGAATTCATTGTTGTTAAAAATTTGACTTGAAAATCTCGTAAAGATAAAAACTATCAGCTTGTTGAACGATTCTACCCCCTCCTTCAACATTCGGCTTAATCATCAGCTTCCACATACAAAACACAATTGACATAGAAACATCAGATAGAAAACCCATCCCAATCCTATTTCAAAAGAAAATTTAACTTTGAAAAAACTTCAAGGAATATGAAATTTGTGCAACGCGAGAGCAACCTGAGACTCATGATTGTAAACCTAAGTACACACTGATTAGACTTAACAAATTCAATTATAATAATGAAGCAAAAGCTCAAAAATGATCAAGCATAAACACGTACGTATCGAAAAACAATTCAAGTCTTTTTCTTCAACGTATGATGTGCTCTGATGTTTATTGAGCCTGCCGAAACTCCATACTAATGCTCCCCGTATTACAGATACAAGTGCGAGAAAAATGAAGTGCCAATAACCGTTCAAAATGGCTCAACCCTGCCGCTGGTGGAGCGTCCAAATGACGAGGAAGCAGCCCTTTACGATCCATTTGAGCACAGGAAGTTAGCACATCCAACGTCTGACCTCGACACCCTTATTCATCTGCTCAAGGGTAGCCTTGGCTCTGGTATCCTTGCCATGCCATTAGCATTCAAGAATGCTGGATTATTCTTCGGTTTATTTGCCACATTTTTCATCGGTGCTGTATGCACATATTGCGTACATATACTTGTTAAATGTGCTCATACATTGTGCAGACGTACGCAAACACCGAGTTTGGGATTTGCTGATGTCGCTGAAGCAGCTTTTCTCGTTGGGCCTGAACCGGTTCAGAAGTACGCCAGGCTTGCAAAGTAAGTAATTCAACCTTTCTTGAATAGTAGTTGCAGAAAATGGTTTATTACTAAGATTTTTCCTTTGGTTTCTATGCTCAAGTACTTCCTTTTCCATGAGCCATACATATAATGTACATTCATTCTCATTTGGATGCTTATTAAATAAGCTTCAAAATGGCACCTGATTTGTTCAATTCTGTCAATTTTTCATTGACTTATGAGAGTTTTAGACGAAAATTTCAATTTTATGTTCAACTTGAAAAATTAATTTTGGCTGGATTTTTCGATGCTCCTAAGTGGACTAGGCAGGGATATAACATTTTGAAGCGCATTCACTATCCTTCGAAATGATGCATGGTAATGCTGATTCAATGTAACTTTCATCAAGTTATCACAGATTGTTTCCATTTTTCACGTCATGTCACACGCCAAAAATAATAGTTTTTGCCATTTATCGAGGATTTGTAGACTTAACCAGCGGGGATATGTACAGTCGAGCACTAAAGTTCGTGAACAACCTGAACTTGTATCCTATGTATTCTGTTCACGAACTTTAGTGTTCTGTATAGGTCTCATCGAGATCATCAAATTGATACCCGATATTATGTATTCCATCCACTAGATCAATTGTTATAAGCGTTAATATAGCGATTTTAGCATGTCACGTTTTAAAAAATTCCATGTTTTTCTTCTCAATGATGAGATTTGCCAAGTTTCTGTTCAAATATGTGGAGATATCTTATGTTCAGGTGAAAATATATTAGATTACCTTCAAATTGACCCCTGAATAATTGAATATGGCCAATTTTCATTGATTATGGAAGTTCTCAATGAAAAATCGAATTTTCATGTTTTTTTTTCTAAATTGCCGTTTGTTCGTGGGTTTTCTTATATTTTAAAGTGAAAATGAGCCAGAATATTCATATACCATTTTAAAGCATAATTCTCGATCTTCAAAATGAGATGTGTTTGATAAAATTATTTGCAATTTTCATGGAGTTATCAAAGATTACTTTCATTTTTAACGTGACTTACCACTCTAAAATTCACCTTCTTTATCAGTTATCGCGTAGCGTCCATGAAGGGGGTGCCTTACGGCCGGAATGACAAAAATATTCTTGAATGAATGCATTATTCCACGCAACCTATCAATTCATTGAAAAATTAGACTGGCATCATTCTAAAGACTATGATCTCATGTTTGTTGTTACAGAGCGACAATCAATTCGTTCCTAGTGATTGATCTCCTCGGCTGCTGCTGTGTCTACATAGTGTTCGTAGCCAAGAATCTCCATGATGTTGTCAACCACCACACGGGGCAGGACTGGGATGTAAGAGTATACATGGCAATGCTTCTGCCACCACTACTACTCTTGTGCTTGGTGAGAAATTTGAAGTGGCTAGCACCATTTTCAATGCTAGCTAATGCCCTCATAGCGACCGGTATGGGCATCACTTTCTACTACATCTTTAGGGATACATCGCAGTTTAAGTCTGTAGATGCTTTCTCGAGCTTCTCCCAACTGCCATTGTTCTTCGGCACTGCCATCTTCGCTTTGGAGGGAATCGGTGTTGTAAGTATTGCTCATGAGTTGCAAGTTTGTAGCCTTCACCACAACAAGATATTAAAGACTTGGTGATTTGCCTGATCAACAGGTTATGCCCCTCGAGAACAACATGAAGACTCCAACCCATTTCATCGGCTGCCCCGGCGTCCTCAACATCGGAATGTTCTGCGTAGTCACCCTCTACAGCACAGTCGGCTTCTTCGGTTACCTTCGCTATGGAGACAGCACCCAAGCCTCCATCACCCTGGACCTTCCCACCGATGAAATCCTCGGCCAATCTGTCAAGGTCATGATTGCCATCGCCATTTTCTGTACCTACGGCCTTCAGTTCTACGTTCCCATGGAGATCATCTGGAAGAATCTCAAATGCCATTTTGGTGCGCGCAAATTATACGTTGAGTACATTGTCAGAATCATCCTCGTTATTTGCACCGTTGGCGTCGCCATTGCTGTTCCCAACCTCGGTCCCTTCATCTCCCTCGTCGGGGCTGTCTGTCTCTCAACTCTTGGTCTCATGTTCCCATCTATAATCGAACTGGTAACTGTCTGGGAAGAAGAGGATGGCCTAGGCCGATACAACTGGAGACTCTGGAAGAACATTCTCATCATCCTCTTCGGTGTTCTCGGTTTCGTCACGGGTACTTACACGAGTATCCTCGAAATCACGGAAGGGAACAGTAATTGAGACGCTCGACGTGATGTCTGCGTCTCAATAAATAGATCGCATATTTCGCGTTAAATGCGTGGCACGCAACAACAACATACAACAATAAGTAATATACAAACAATAACTCTCATTGATGCCTCGAATAAGATAATTCGGGGCTTGCACATGCGCCATTTATGGTTAACGAAGGTCATAACTACGGCTCTCGGATTTATTATTTATACATCTATGTAAGCATCGAGCGTAGAGCGAATTGTGTCGCCATATTTAGGTACTAGATGACAAACGGAGAGGTTATTCTACTTAAGTTTTGTTTCTGTCAACGACACGAGAGCCGGACCCCTTGACTAATGGTGGAACTGTAGGCTGCTGCTGATTTTGACTGAGCTTCCTTATGCGAGAAAAGTTTTTTTTTCCAGGATGAGAGTTAATCTCTTCGGTTTAGGGGCAATTGTCGAATCGGCGCCATTGTGTGACTCTTGTCTCGTTAATGGCGGCTGAGGTGTCAGGATTTTGTGAAAATTCTGACGATCTCGATGGACGCCATCTTGAGGGACGGGAGGGTTAACGCGATTCAGTGATCAATTAACTCGATTTTTGACATCTGTGAATAGCCGGTCTAGCCAGAATCTTGGGACTGTGCCTCTAGGTTAGAATTTTATCAAACGAAATGTTTTCTTTTTGTAACTGTATTCTTCCGTAAATTAGTTTCGCCGTCTAGACCCGCCAGTATTTTCTTCGCTTATGCGAAGGATAGACTAATGAGAGATACAAAATTTCAATGAAATAAGAGAATAGTGATAGAAAATAGCAGTATGACATTTTTTTCAAGTTGATGATCTTTTTTGTTTTTTTTTATGTCCTATTATGAGAGTAGTATTGAGCGGTACCGACAGACTGATTTTTTGAGTGCTTTTCTATTGTCATCGATTGTGTGAATTTGGAAAACTAGTTTTTGACGCAGGCACATATTTTTGGATATTTCGAAGTTTCAAGGATCAATTACGGAGCATTTGGTTTCTGCGATTAAATTACATGATGGCTTTTTTAGGGGTAATAAGTAAATTAATGACGATTGTATAGACAAAATTGTTGGCAATATTCACAGGAACTTTAAAAGGAAATAGTGATATGATACGAATTGTTAAACATTTTTGAGAGAGTTTTTATCGAGATTCGGTGATTCGAACAAAAATAAGTCGAGGTTAAATGGAACAATAGGTAGATTAGCCATCTTCATGCGTCAGTGAAATTTTCCCATTTTGAAATTTTCATCATGTCTGTAGATAAAACCATGTGACGAGTTTTTTGGTACCTGTTTTTTTCAATTCAATGCATACTGTTATATTATTTTTCATTGTAACATGAAAAGAAAATGTTATTCTATTTAATAAACGATCAATCCATTTGCAGAAGCTTTTGTTATTTATTACGAATGATAAATATTCCTTCCATTTTCTTTCAAGGAGTTCAAAGGCTTTTACAAATTGCTATTGTTGTGATGGCAAAATCCAGTCAAATTCCAGTTAATAAATTTTTCTTCCACCTGATTTCAATGTATATTGAGTTATCGTACTGCTCTTCCGTTATTTTTTAGTTCCATTTCTATAGTGATATTTTCACGAATTACTGAAAAATTCCAAAAGACAAATGAAGCCCAAGTGCATTAAATAAATCGACTGTGTGACCTCTCGAAAATTTTCCGATGCATAATGTGCCAGAAGACTGGAATGTTCTCGAAAGCTTTAGGACTTTCAGGATTACTTCAGAAGTTAACGCTTTGGAAAATCATGGAAGGTTCTAGAAAGTTATAACAAACTCCAGAACGATACAGCAGTTTTCTGCGAGGGAATTTTTACATTAATTTTGCGCGATTTTATCGTAAAATTACCATAAAAATTGATGAAAACTTCTCGTGTTATTGGAGAGCTTACCTACGAGACCCTTTCATCATCGATGCACTCTCTAGATATCCCGACAATATTTCAAAATATTCAAGACTTTTCTATCATTTATCGCTGAAATATCGATTTCAACATGAAAAAATTTGGACCGCCGTAGGCGGACCACCAAACACACTAGTTAGATAAATCTGAGATGTCCGTTTTTGTGAGAAATCATAAAATGCCCCAGCAAGTTATAGAGCGATCTGGACTAGTACAGAATCATCTAGAAAATTTGAGAATCATTGAGAAAATGCTTCAAGATTATTCATTCTTCATAAAAATTATCGGAAGATGTAGAAAATTGTAGAAAGATCCAGAGCTGTAGAGAATTTTCAAGTCAATTCGGCAATCTTCTAAAAAACTCTTCATTTTTCCAAGCCTTGATTATTAGTTCTAGCATAACCCAAGCAGTTCTGAAAATTCGAGACCCAAACCTCTAAAAATTTGTAGGAAGTAATTTAAATGAAAAGGTATAAACCCAATAAATTCACTCCCCAAATAACTTTTTAAAAGAGTAGATATTTGTCCATATATTGTAGAATCGCCTTCTTTACAGAGTCGTCATTAAATGCAAACAGTATAGTATTTGAATAATTATATCTCAGTCGGTTGAGTGCTCTTGCCCACGGTCCAGGGCAAACTATCCCCCGATGGTCCCGTTTATCGTGGGGACCCCAGACCCAGGTTCGTCATTTGTTTAGACTACGTCGAGATCTGCATCGCCAACGGATCGATTGCTGAGAGGATGTTTACGCTATAGTACGTATGCATCTCTCCGGATAACGCTAATTCCGTCGCTGGCTACGATTGTCCAGTCCCAATATTAATATGTGGATATTCTCTTTACAAATTGATAAAAATTTATAAAAACTTCTCGATTAATTTGAGAGTTTACCTATGAGATCCTTTCATCATTGGTGCAGAATATTCTGGTATTTTCTGGTATTGATCGTCTAAATGTCGATTTAAATTTGCCTTTTCTTTTTTATCATTTCTTTCAACTCCATTGGTAGTAAGCTTCCAAATGGAGCCATAGCAAATTCATTCTAAAAATTAAAAATGCGGCTATTAAAAAAATAGGTCACACCACCTGTCTCTACTCAACTATGACATGTTTTACCAAAACTTGACATGATATGAAATAGAAAAAAATTTACTTTTATTTTATATATCTTTTTACGTCCTCCAGAATCGAAAATCATTGATAGAATGACGATGTGTCATTTTTGGAAAAAAATATTTTTAGATGAATGGCTCTATGCCAGAATGTGCTAAAAAAACGATCGACAAAAAATTTTATACATAAATGTAACTCGTTCGTACTGACTAGTAGCCAAAATTTCGGATGTTCATTCCAACTTGTACGCGTATTATAGAACGTCAAATTCACTCTTAGATTAAAAAAATGGTAAAAATGCAAATATCTTGAAAACTTTGTACCAAGAGTTGTTCATATTTTGATTGATCCTGATAGGAGGCAGCCCCTAGTGGAAAAACATAAGGCGTAACATGCCTGATCAGAATTTCGGATCGGACTTGATTAGTTTCTGATCGAGACCTGAACAGAATTTCCACTCGGGTATGAGTCAATTTGAGAGTGAAATTCGTAAGTGTCCTGGTAGCTCAGATGGTAAGAGCATCCGACAAATAAAAAACTTGGTTAAACAAAAAAAAAAGTAAGAGCACCCGACGCGACATTGGGAGGTCCCGGGTTCGATTCCCGGCTAGGAAGTTACTAATGTTTTGTCTCAAAAAATTAAATTTAATTAATGCCTAATGATGGAAGGCGGAGAAAGCCTAGTGGAAAAACCTAAGGCAGAGGCGTAACATGCCTGATCAGAATTTCGGATCGGACTTGATCAGTTTCTGATCGAGACCTGAACAGAATTTCCACTTGGGGCAATCGATAAATCATTATCAATGAATTGTATTTTTATTTTCATCCCCTTAATCCCCCTCCCGCCAAATTATTATATTCAAGTACATCTCCTCCCGCCGCCGCAGCCCATCGCTCCCCAGAAACTGAAGCGATAAAAAATATAATAAATATTATTACTATTTCTCCCCTCTTGCCCTTTTCGCCAAAGCCGCAGCGGTATTTATCTGAAAAATTGACATATCATGCGTCATCCTATTTTACCCACTGAGTCACAAACTAATCGTATTTCGGTGCCATCGCTAACAGAGGTCGCCCGGTCAACAGGGACAATGTTGATAATGAAGTGAGCGAAATGCCATCATTCATTACATTATTCATCAGTTAATTAAATCGACAAAAAATTAACTAAAGGGTGATGATTGACATACATTGTTCATCTTTTAACATTTAAATATTATTTTTGAAGCTTCATTTCACCAATTTTNGAAGTTCGAATTTTTGGAAGTTGGGAAATTTTGGAAGTTGAAAAAAATGAAGTTAGACAATTTTAAAGTTGGAAAATTTTGAAGTCAGACAATTTTGAAGCTGGAAAATGTTGAAGTTGGGCAATTTTTAAATTAGAGAATTTTGAAGTTGAAAACTTTTGAAGTTGAAAAAATGAAGTTGAAATGTTTGAAGTTGAAATTTTTGAAGTTGACAAAATTGAAGGCGAAAAATATTGACGTGGATCAAGTGCGAAGTTGCAATGGATCCATTTTAACAGAGAAATGAATATCCGAAAATTTACATTTTAAAAATTTATAATCGAATAACTTAAAAACGGCTGAGACGATTCCGCTGGAATTTCACTCCAGTGTTGGTGATACGAAGCCACATCGATTATGATGAAAATTAATCAATCCCATCGTTTGTTCAAAAAAAAATCAGATTTCACAAAAACACTCATTTTTCGGCGTTTTTTACCTAGTTTTCTTGTAAAATCTGAAAAACTGCTGAGTCAATGTTGTTTAGAATCTAATCAACTCTAAGTAACGTTGCAACACATCGATTGCATGAAAAAAAGAAAAAATCGTCTTGTTCGTCCGAGCGTAATCGTAGTACAAAATTTTGGTCACCCACACACACGGACACACACACACAGAATCAATCAATGCCATCGCCTACGTGCCCTACACGTTGATGGAGAGAATCGTCACGGTGCTGTTCCCACAGCAATTAGAACTTCAATGTACTGGTGAACAGGAAGAAGAGATAATTGTCCCACCAATCACCATAGAAGAGTTGACGGAAGCCTGCAATAGAGTGGGTAACACCGAAGCCCCTGGGCTGGATGGGATTGCCAATATCGCGCTGAAATCAGCTATTCGTACGATGCCGGATCTGTTCCTGGACGTCTACAACGTGTGTTTAAGGGAAGGCACCTTCCCAGCCATGTAGAAGCAACAGAGATTAGTCCTGCTCCCAAAAGGGAATAAACCAGCAGACGACCCATCATCATACCGTCCCCTCTGCATGCATGATACCGCTGGCAAGCTCTCCGAGCGTATCGTCCATCAGAGAATAGAAACAGCAGTTAAACCCCTCTTGGCCGACAACCAATATGGGTTCCGGAAAGGCCGATCCACACTAGATGCTATCAACCTAGTAGTCAACACTGCCAGGGACGCAATCTCGGGGAAAAGATGGCTGGGTGGCACCATCAGTGAAGTACTGCTTGGTAGTTACTCTGGATATCAGCAATGCTTTCAACTCAGCGAGGTGGGACCGTATCATTGAGGCTTTAGTGAAGTTCAACGTTCCGAGATACTTGCAGAAAATGGTCCGCAGCGATTTCGCTGAAAGAGTCCTTAAGTATGACACGGAATGTGGTCCCAAGTAGTACGGAGTCACTGGAAGGGTACCTCAAGGCTCAGTAGTATGGGTCCTCTATTGTGGAAAATCATGTATGATGGGCTGCTGAAACTGGGATTGCCGCGGGCAGCCAAACTCGTGGCATTTGCAGATTGACGTGGCTGTAGTCATCGTAGGCAAACACCTAGAGGAGATAAACTTCAGTTTCGACATGACCTTCGAGATGATTTGTCACTGGATGGACGCAGTGGGTCTGAAACTGGCGGAACACAAGCAGTGCTGATCACCAGCAGAAAGAAAACCGAGATAATAACGCTACAGGTCGGGTCTTGTGAAATTACTTCTCAGCCATTCATTCGATACCTGGGAGTGATGATCGATGCCCGACTTAATTTCAAGCAGCAAACCGAGCACTTGGGAGTGAAGGCGTCTGGCGTCAGATCCACCTTATCGCGCCTCATACCTAACATCGGAGGTCCAAAACAACGAAGAAGAGCCTTGCTCATCGGTGGTCACGTCAGTGCTCACCTACGGCATTTCCATTTGGGCTGATGCACTGCAACTGCAGCAATCAGAGTGAAAGATTGCACCGGTCTACCGGCTGAGTGCTCTCAGAGTCGCAAGTGCTTATCGTACAGTGTCTGAGGAAACCGTATCCGTCATCGCTGGAATGTTACCAATAGAGGTACTGGCTGAAGAACACAGATCTTTATACCAGCGGAGGAGAACAGCGTGCACC